AACGTACCACATGACCAACGGACAAATAGTGATAAGATTATTTAATTACGTCAAGTTACGTTAAGCTAGATATGCCGTACAAACTTGACAGATATTGTTCAAGCGGGTACAACACTGTCGAATAGATATCAAATATGGTTAATTTAAATTTTCTTTGCAACTACATATAGATTACAATAACTACATATAGATTACATAACTACTTATAGATTATAATTATTTTTTTTATTAACAAGACAGAAGGCATGAATCTACCAGTTAAATGCTTTTTTAAAATTTCCGGTTTTTGCCACCCCCTACCATGAGATCATATTGAGATTACGACTTTTTATCAAACCATAAGAAATTTTTGGTATTAAAAATACATCACATTGATATCAATTTTTGACGAGACACTACAACCTTGAGGTTGTGGTATTTTGTCAAAAATTGATATCAATGTGATGTTATTTAGATTAATAATGATTTATATAATAAAATACCAAAAAAATTGCCAACATGCTGAAAATTTCTTATAACGATGAAGATTTGTTTATTAGAGGAAGTATGTAGTTTAATAACATTGCATAGTAATTAAAACGTTCTACGTTTTAATTACTATGCAATGTTATTACGTTTTTCTACTTTTTTATGCTACTATCAATTTAAATTTATTTTAATAAGAATCAATTTAAATTATATTGTTTGAATTAACATCGTTTTTTTTTTGGTCAGAGTTTTCAAAACAGTTAAATGATGCCATGGTCTTCACATGGTCAAGCTTCACAATTTAAAAATCCCCAAATTTTAATTTAAAAAAAAAATAAATTCGGATCACAAATTAGTTTCTTTATAAAATTGAATTAATTCTCAGCAATCTTCAAAAATAAGAGCCATATTGTCTAACTATACCAAATTATCGACTTATAAAGCTATTAATTCTCAAGGAAGCCATAAAAAAATAATATGCGTTTTTCACACGATAACTTCTTCTAACTAATGAAAAATCCGCTCTTACCTGACTTCACTAACACCAATATTCACCAACAAATGGAAAATATACTGCTTTATGTGTAACCTTCTCTCTTTTATTGAAACAGATATATGTCAGGGTTTCAATGATTGGATGAATACCAAACGTTCCATTGAAATGCATAATTCCTGCCACTTAGCAGCAACTCTTGCATACATAAAGCAATCATGATTGGTTGAAAGGGTTGATTAGACCCAATTGAACTTTAGCTGATCAGTTTTAGATGTTGTGGTAGATGTTGTCAAATTTTTTTCTGCAAGGAGTTTGTCGTTTCAAGGTCATAACTCAAAGGTAAAGGATAATTAACCAGCTAACACAAAACGTTCAACAAACGTACTTGAACGCTTTGTGTTACCTGGATTCATGAGTATTTTAAAGGTATTGGAAAAGTATGAGCCAGTTTTAGCAATGTATATAGAATAAAACAAAAAAAAACACAGGGAGGAAAAATGGGTCATACTTGTCATCAACTATTTTTGAAGAACTAATTACTTTAATGGGTAAAGCAGTGCTAACTAGTTTAATAAATCAAATGAAGAAAGCAAAATATTATTGTGTTTTGATTAAATCAACACCAGATATATCCAACGTCAACCAATTCGTTGTTACAGTTTGTTATACAAATAAATCTGAGTCTGTAGAAAGGTTCTAGACATTTCTTAAATTACAAACCTATATTGGTCAAGAATTAGCTATAGTATTGCTGTCTTATTTAGATGACAATGATATAAATTTCGCTAAATTGTTGTCAGAAGCAGTAAACTTGGTTTTCGTCAAGCTGCTATAAAATATTTTGATTTTATTCAAAAATTATGCACTTTTTTAAGTACATCAACAGCTAGCATATTCTTTTTGTCAAATTGAGTTAACACGTACCGGTACCAAAACGACGTTGGTTCAGTCATTCTAATGCAACACGAGGTTTGTCAAAGAGCTTATACTGCATTTTTGAATGCTAATGAAAATAAAAACAGTAATAAAACACAAAGCTATTAGTTTATTAAATTGGTTTAATATGTTAGAAACTGGAAATATTAAAGAATGAACACAACTAGCAAGCTTCTTCAGAGTTCAACACTGGATGTAAATACAGATGCATTATTTATTGCATTTCCGAAAAGATTTTATTGAATCACTCCGCACAAAGTTCTTGTTATATGAGGATTACGGCTTGATATTAAGTAAAGTAGAAATTTATAAAGAAGATAGTAGCAGAATGAAGAAAAGGAAAGATCATCTCAACAAAGGAATAGGATGAATGCTCTGGAGAACGGGTAATACCAAATTCGAAAAAAAAAACATATTTATGCCATCATTGAGAAACTTAGCAATGCTCTGATTTATTGTGGAGATGTATATTTTACTGTTTATGCTAAATTGGGTTTTTCGAACGATATGTCTAATTTATCTGCTAAAAATGGTTCATTTTTCAGATTATCTAAAAATTAAATTCACCGAATTGGCAGAACAGTATAAGGATGAAAAATACAGTCAAGAGTTATTAAATTACAAGTTGATTATAGATTAAAGGATCACTGTCGACATTACATCCCGTACTTATTCATGTCCAATCGAACAGGAGAAAAAGGCTTTTCTCAACCATGTCGAATTGAGAATAAACTGAAATCAAATATGACGTATAATAGATTGGATATTCTGTCACTGATGTCTATTTTCAATAAAATAAATTTTGATGAAGTGTTAGAAACATTTATTATGAAAAAAGAGAGAAAAAAAGTGAAACAATTGTATTTGAATACAAAATATCTACTAATGTTGGTATACTATCAAAGAAAAAACAGCAAGCTAATTTTTATTTTGTAACTCTTTATAATATTGAGTCTAAAATATACAAAATATACAAATCTTATCTATGTAACAAATTCCAGTCAATGTTAGTGTATATGTAGATGTTCAGCAAAAAGCATGAACAACATTGACAAAGTAATAAAACTTACGTAATAATTGGGTGAGCCAGAGGCGGGTCAATTATTTATTGGTCTTTGAGTTAACTAAATATTAGTCATGGAGCTTAAGCAAACTTTTATATGGTTACTTATGTAAAATTAGGATGCTTTTAAAAAAAATGTTCAATCCACTCCCTGGGATCAGCTGAAATATGGATTACCTACATTTCATGAATAGATAAGATTTTTTGTGTGTCTCATTCATATTTCATACAAAATACAAATTAAAAAATGATAATCAATAGGAGATAGGAACATCAGATAAAGTTAATACTGCTCAAAAAGTATTTTAAGTGAAAATGTATTTGTTAAAACTACAGAACTAAACAAAATATTGATAGTAAAGTTACACATAATACTGACTTGTATATCAAGTGAATTTCAAATAAATATCAGTAACCTTGCTTACTTTGTATGGAAACTGCAAAGCTCTACTGATGTTTTTTAACTAATTTTTTTTTTTAGTTACTCATTGTAAGCATCGCGAAATATCATTTATTAACCACGAAATTCACTTTTTGTAATAGTAATGTATTATTTTGTTGTTTTATTATTTTATGTATTACTTTTATTATGCACTATTTTTATTATATTTTTTTTTTTTAGTAACAATTATTATATTAGTTTAACTTTGGTAAAAATTGTTTAAAGTTTAAAGTGCACCCGGTTATATACTCTAATATATACCTATATACTAATATATATAATATAAAGTGCACCCAATCTCCTTTACTTTGTTTCATTCTAAAGTACACCCGATCTTCTTTACTTTGTTTCATTCTGTATACTTATATAAGGTTTAGCATTTATAACACACCTAATTTATTACGTTTTTTCTTTTCTTTACGCAGCACTAACCTAACCATGATAAAACGTGTTTTTCCAATAACTCCAATTCCTTTACTAATTATAAAAAAACAGAGATGTAGATGGTGTGTGGCGTTTTTTGTGTATGAGAGAAAGAAACTTTGGCTCATGACCTTTTTGGGCTATTGCGTTCAACATACTAATACGATGAAAATAATTAAGTTGAACCTAAATTAGTTATTAATTGATATAATATTACCATAGATGGAAATAGCTGATAAAGTGTAATCACCTGCTGCTAGATATCAAGCCTCCATTTGAAACACCAAATGATGAACATGCCACCAACACCGGTATAACCAAAGCTGCAAGACCACAAACTTTATTAACAAATGCCTAAATAATATTTTTAAATTTCTGCGTTAGTATAAAATACATTATTAACTTTTTTAGTCACAAAAAGTTCAATTTATGTAAAAAAAAAGGTTTTTATAGTAATATTATGACTTTTTTATAGTGTAAGTTCAAACTTTAAAAATCAAGTAAACATAAGATGGATATAAGATCTAGACAATATATTAGTAGAAGCATTGCATAAATTACTTTTATACAGTTTTTGCACCAAAAATTTTTTTTTAGATTTCTTTTTTATTTACCACTCCTACTGTATTTGAAATGGCAATTTCTAATAGAGTCATTATTGTTAAATATGCCGCATTGACGGTAAGATAGAAAACTTTAACTAATATTATACCAATCCACATAGCTAGTGAGAGATCTATAATGGGATTTTTAAGTTCTGCTGCAATTGTAGGTAAATTACTTCACCTAAAATTACTTTACCTCCGTAAGCCCAAAAGCGACCGAAAAAAGCATAACAAATTTCTGAAATTTTTGTCTTAGAACCTTCGAAAAATTGTCTAAAATTTTGATAATTACCCAAAAAACTATTTCAAAAGTCATTTAAAAAACGTTTTTATTTTAAAAAGCATAATTTAAATACTTCAAAATATTCAGAATTTAAACCTATTTATTTAAATTACTTTTTAGCACTTCCATATAATTATATTATGAATAAAAAATTAATTTTTCTATAAAACATTGTATGTGTGAAAGTATACTTATTTACGTTTAAATTTTTGAATAACAATACGATTAAACAATTATTAAAAAACTTATATATAAAAAACTTTACACTTTAGATTTAGCTTTACCTTGACCAAGTCGCACTACACCAGTAATTGCAATCATTAATAATGTCAAAATTTTTATTGTAGTAAAAATTTCTTGTATAATTGTTCCTAAGTTAACGCTATTACAGTTCAAGATAAAAACTACTCCTGAAATGCAAAAAAATATTGATTAATTTTTGAATTTAGATATAGTTATTTTTTAAAACTTTAAAAGCTTGCCCACCAATGATTATTGCAGCAATTATTTTAATATATTCTTCAACTAACATGGCAGCTAAAACAATGTAATTAGAGCATGTTAACATCACCATAACAAATGACATTGGAGATAGTATTACCACAAATGTAAACCCAGATATAAATGCTGGTAAATCTCCAAAACCTTCATACACAAAACTATAGTTGGAGCCTGAAGACTCCGGAAACATTGTAGCAAGTTCTACATAACATAAAGCTAAAAATAATGCAAGCACTACGCTGCCTGCCCAAACAATAAGAATTAAACCTGAACTGCCAGAATATTTTTCAACTACACTAGGTTATATAAAAATTCCGCTACTAACTACTGTTCCTACAAGAAGACCAATGGCTCCTAAAAGTGTTATTTGCCGTTTGAAACCTTCATTTTTATCTTTTTTTTCAATAAATTCTTCGGTATTTCTTTGGTTTTTACTTTCGATTGAATTCTTGGTATTACTTTTACCATTTTCAATGTTGTCTTGCGCCAACACATTGTCACCATGACCGTTTTTAATCTTTAAAATTTTTGTTCAATTTTGTAATATGTCCTATTTTGTATTTTAATAATCTCTAAAACATGTTATTAAAAGAACATTAAAAATCTCTTTAAACATTATAATTTTAACAACCTCTAACCAGAGATTTTTGCTTTTACAAACCTAAACTTGTTAATTGTAATTCACTTTTTTTAAATTATTTATTCTTATTAATCTGATAATGTGTGATTATGTGTGATTTATGAACGTTTTTTAAAGTGTGCAACTTTTTTTTTTTTGATAATAATAGAAAATACAATAATAAAGTTATTTGCTGATATAGATCTATCTAAATTGGTTAAAATAAATAAAAATAAATTTATTGCCGTGATAAAAAGAAAATATATATACAAAATTATTACGTATCAGATTGATAAAAAAATACGTTAATATAATATTTACACATTAATATAGTATTGATGCAAACTTTAACATATATATATATATATATATATTATATATATATATATATATATATATATATATATATATATATATATATATATATATATATATATATATATATATATAGATATATATATATATATATATATATATATATATATATATATATATATATATATATATATATATATATATATATATATATATATATATATATATGTATATATATATATAAATATATAGATATATATATATATATATATATATATATATATATATATATATATATATATATATATATATAATGTATATACATACATACATGCACATATACACACATACACATATAAATACACACACATATACACATATATAAACATACCTATTTTTATTATTATTATTATTATTATTTCTTTTTATAATTTTTTTTTTTTTTAATTTATTGTAATAGTTTTTACAAACTTAGAATATTCAGCTTTGCTTGCCGTTTTAACGACGATATTCTATTTAAGTCTTTTAATTTTTGATTTTTCAAGTTTTTTCCATTTTTTAGGACCCTGTGACGTAATTGAAAATTCAGAACCCCGGGTTTTAGTTTTTTTTAATATAGTAGCTATGGAAGCTATTTGATCACAGATTATAATTTTGAGAAAATGATGACAAAAATATGTCTAAAAAAGAATTTGATAGCATATTATTTTTATATTTGAACATAAAAATAAGAGTCTGATATAAATTAAGTTTTTCCAAGTTTAAGTTTTATAATGGTAGTATTAGTAATAAAGGAAAAAAACACACAAAAACATTGTATGTAGACCCAGGAAAAAAAAGTACTATAGAATTTCTATAAATTTTTAAAACATATGGTCTATAGAAGTTCTATAGAATTCAATAGAATTTCTATAAAATCTCTGTTAATTTCCATAGAAATTCCTATTGAACTTTTTTTTCTACTTTTTTTCTATAAAAAAAAGTTTTATAGCAATTTCTATAGAAATTAATAGACATTCTGTAGAAATTCTATAGAATACCTATAGGCCATATGTTTCAAAAGTTTATAGAAACTCTATTAAACTTTTTTTTCCTGGGGACCCAGGCATAATTATACAACAGTAATATTTGCGCTGGGTCAATACTCATCAATTAAAGGAGTGTTGCTGTGAAACAATTTCCCGTGTACTTTAAAATATAATAAATAGACAAAATACGTATTTTCATATATAATGAAAAAATAAAGGTTCTCAAAACTTAAAATCACCCAACTAAAATGAGTTAAATGCCCTACAAGCCGACTATATCTAAAAAAAAAAAAACTGAACATAACTATTTTTGGGGGCGGGGAGGGATATTAATAAGGTTCTTTACGGTCTTATCACAGGACACCGCGGTAGAGCATTTAACTCGGAAGTTCGCGCTTTCTTCCTTATTAATACCGTTTATTGCGCTACAGACGGTGTTGAACATCGAAGCTCTTGGTTCTGTGTTAAAGTTCTACCATTAAAAATAATCACTAAAATAACCACGGCGCCACTGCTACAGTGGTTAGAGTTCTGAAAGCTTGAAGATTAGCTTCTTTGGGTGACATAACCCGCACCCCCTCTCTGCCCCAGAAAAATAACCTCTTGAATGAAACTAAATAATTTTATTTTTTAATTTTTTTTTAATTTTTGAGATATGTTTAGGTTTTGTAAAAATGAGCCGTTTTACAAAATGACCTCTTGAATGAAAAATGACCTCTTAAATGAAACTAAACAATTTATTTTTTAATTTTTTTTAATTTTTGAGATATGTTTAGGCTTTGTAAAAAAGGGCCGTTTTACATAAAAGCAACATATGTAAATAAAACATTTATTGAAAAGTATGGTGTTAAACGTTGCAACTTTTTTGATTTTACATTTGGGTTTAAATAAACAAATTTTTTTTTAGATATTTTTGTTTTTTAAGTTAGAAAAAACTTGTTTAACTTATTTTTAATGAAGCATTTTTTCATGATTCTTTAAAGTTGTTTTTTCATCTTGATTTATGTTAATTTCCAAATAAAAAACCAATAAGTAAAATTATAAACCAATATAAAAAATTACCATCATTACAACGCCTAAATAAAATATTATTTATAGTGAACAGATTTTTTCATAAAATCTGGATCAACCTTAATACATTCTTAGCAAACATGTCCTATTGGGGCTCATATGGGTTTGCCCAAGTGGGCCCTATGTAAGCTTTATGTATGGGTCCTAAATAGGCCCCATATGGGCTAGCCCTTGAATACAAAATTATTTATTCAAGGGCTAGTCCACATGGGGACTCATTTCGGGCCCATATATGTAGTTAAAAAAGTTAAAATTTTGTATTCAAGGGCTAGCCCATATGAGGCCCATTTAGGACCCATATATGAAGTTAAAAAAGCGTTAAACTCTATCTTATTTTCTAAATTTAAATGCCATTCGATCTTGCGCGCAATGGTATGAGGTACTACGCTAGGCAGTTAGCTGGAAGAGTATAAATCGCAATAGCGAACTTACCTAATGAAAACCTTCCGTTTACGTTTTTAAACCCCTTACGTTTCTCAAATATAATTACGTCTTAAAGCTTTTCTCAAGTTTTAAACTTAATTTAGATTAACTCTTTTTTGAAAAATCTTCTTTTTATTCAAAGTCAAATCATTTTAATGACTCCGTAATAATGTTATCAATGTCATGTATTAGTGATAGTAAAAGAGTTTTAAATTGTACTTGAAATTTTTTTTTATGTATAAAAAGTTTTTGAAAGTGTATACACTATTTGAGTTTTTATAAACCCACAAACAAAAATCTGTATAAAATGACACGTTTTAAAGAGGTTATAAATAAGTTTTATAAATAAGTCTTAATTAAACATAATTAAAAAAAAAATTAAATTGAGACTTGATACAATAATTCACTGAGGTAAATTATGTGTATATTAACGAATTGATCGATTCTCGGCCAAATGAATCAAGTGTAGTATCTGTTCTTATTTCGTCTCCAGACCATTTCTCAATTGGTTACGCTGTTGTTAGAATGCAGAAACAAGACAAGGTCTAAACCGTGACAGTCGTCAGTTCTTGGCGTAGTCGCTTTTTTAGTGTTTTCTTCTACGTCCGGAAATCTTTGGGCGATCCGTCCACTCCGGACGTTAAATGGAGATAAACCCTTAAGTGAGCGCTGCTCAGTTTCGGCTGAGTGGCATCAAATAAATCCTTAAGCATACGACTCCCTAATAAAGCCACCTTCTAGGGCCCTGTGTAAGTCTGGTTTCAGCTTCAGGTGTATATAGTTGGTCGGTAAGAAAAAAAAAAATTAACGTATTGCACCTTTCTAACATCGTGTGCAATCCTGTCCGCGTTCTCTATGCTATTTTTAATCTCCACTACTTCTATCTTTCACTCTAACATATCTTCGTTCTTCCCAAAAGTTACTTTACGCTCTTTGCTGAACTTGACATTTGCCTTGGAAATGTGGCCTCTATATGGCAACTAGCCGGAGGAGGTTAGACCACAGTACCAAAAAGGTCGTACCACAGGGCTACTAGGGACTTGCTTGTGGACGTTGTTGAATATATATATATATATATATAATTATTCTTAAAAAATATTTTTCTTTGTTGTAAGGAAACTCGCAGAAGACTAAAATAGTCTTTTCATCGAGAACCTTTAAAACATAAAATTAACTTTAATGAACTAGTTCAACAAATACACATAAGCATTTTGGTATCTACTATATAGTAGAAGTAGTAGGGCTTTTTATTATTACTATTTTTCCCAAATTGTTTAATACATTTCGATGAAGTTGGTTAAGTTAATTATGATATGTTTTAGTTTTTTTTTCAGAGCAATAAGGTTATCCATTTTATTAAGTTCCATATTTTGAAGTATTATTTTGTTATGTAAGTATGGGCCACGGTATATTAAAGAAAATCGCGAGAATTTCGTTTTTTTTAAAGGCAAGGTGAAGTTGCCTGTTCCTCGTATAAAATATTTGTTTGCGTTGATAAGAAAAAAATTATCAGTAAAGTATTTCGGAACAAGTCCGAGTTTGTATTTTAGCATGAATAAGATATTTTGGTAAATATTTATTTGATAGATATTTAATGCATTCAAATTTTTAAGTAAAGGGTCGGCACGAGTGAATTTATCTTTATTATAAATTAATCTTGATGCATGTTTCTGATGTATGTAGAGTGAATTTAATTTAGTTTTATGGGTACTTTCCCATGCAATATTGGCGTATGTTAGGTAACTTTGAATATAAGAAAAGAAGAGAATTTTTAAGTTGTCTTGGGATTTCGGAAACTTGGCATAGGTTTGGCTTTGTAGAGTACGCCAATACTTTTTGATATTTTTGTGTTTATTGTATTAATATGGGTTTTCCAATTAATATTCTGGTCAATAATTATTCCAAGAAACTTAGTTGTTTCAGTTCTTTTGATGTTTATGTTATCAATTTTTAGTGAAGGTAGAGTGCCTGGTATAAAGTTTTTAAGACGGTTGGAGTGAAACAAGATATATTTTGTTTTTTCTGTATTCAAAGATAATTTATTTACTTTAAACCAGATGTTGAATTTTTCGAGGTCAGTGTTCATAGATTCCTAAAGGTCGCTTATAGACGGCGATGAGTAAAATAAATTTGTATCACCAGCGAACATTATTACATCAAGTTTTTTTAAGGCTTTTGGAAGATCGTTGATATATATTAGAAATAAAAGAGGACCCAGAATGGAACCTCGGGGAACTCCGCATTTTATTTCTAGTAGGTCTGAATATTTATTATGATCTGTAACAACGCATTGTTTTCTGCTACACAGGTAACTTTTGAACCAGTCAAGGGATATATTTTTAACACCATATCTTTCCATTTTTGTAAGTAAGATATTGTGATTAACTGTGTCGAACGCTTTGGATAAATCTATAAAAGTCCCTATACAAATTGCTTTTTATCGAAAGAATTACTCATGCTATTTACAAGACCTAAAATGGCATGTTCGGTTGAGTGTTTTCTTTGAAACCCGAATTGTTTTTTGTTTAAGAGGTTATTTTGAAGGTGATATTCGTGTAATCTATTGTAAACTATTCTTTCAAGTATTTTAGAGAAAGTAGGCAGTATAGAGATCGGTCTGTAATTATTTAATAAAGATGTTTCGCCTGTTTTAAAAATTGGTACAATTTTAGCTGTTTTCAATTTATCTGGTACAGTACCTGTTTTAATTGATGATTTAAATATTTTGAAGATTGGTTTGCGTATCTCCAAAAAGACATCGATAACGATATTGCTACAAATATCATCTATACCTGGAGATTTATTTATTTTAAGAGATTTTATCGCAGTTCTTCAATTTTTAGTTCGCTAAATGCTAACTTGTTGCTGATATTAGTTAAGTATGTCTCAAATGAGTTGTTTGGACAATTAATTTTTGTAGCCAGGTTTGGGCCTATGTTAACGAAAAAATTGTTAAACTTTTCTGAGATTACGCCACTACTGACATACTCTTCATTATTTATAACAACTTTAGTTATTTATAACAACTTTAGTTAGTTTTGATAAACTATTTGGTTCCCAATTTTTGTTCCTAATTATTTCTTTAATTACGTCCCACGTTTTTTTAATATCACCTTTGGAGTTTTTTATTTTATTTGAGTAATAATTCTTTTTTGAAGTCTTTTTGATTTTTTCAAACAAATTTTTATATTGTTTGTAAGCATTTGAAAAATTGAGTTTAAGAAAACAAGTAAAAACTCAGCTACTCATAGTTGCGTATCAAGAGAGATCGATATATATTTTTTCTATTTATTGGAAAAAAAATTGGTCTAACATTTAAATTGATAATAGATTTCAATGTATAGATTGTGGAAAAAGAATTAACTTAAAAAATTTATTTTTGTGACTTTGCGCATTTTGCATTTTAGTGATATTATTATATTATAACCAGAAAGAAAGAACATTTAAAAATTTCAACGTTATAAAGATAGTCTTTTTGAACTATTATCGCTTCCCAGTGGGAAAGAGACGTTTATGAGACGTCTGTTTTAGATCAGGAGATGCCTCAATTGGACAAGAGGGGAGACATCCAAAGGTACGTTCCAATGGACTGTTCTCTCTATAGAAAAAAATGCATTTTGGTCTTCGTATTCACTATAAAAATAAACAAATAAGCGTTTAAGTTTGTTTTTAAAAAAGTATTCAAGTATTTTAATTTAAAAAGACCTTAAAATGATAAAAAATAATGTGATAAACTAATAACTCATTCCATTCAAGAAAATATCAATGTTAAGACAAAAAACAACATCATCAAAGTATCGCGGTGGCTTAACTTACTTTCCATTTCGCTACAATAACTCGGCCAAAAACAAAAAGTTAACATTTTACTTTTTCCCATAGAATAGTAATTTTAGAAAAAAATGGTCATCTTGGTTTAGTTTAGTTTTATTAGTTTATTTCGCCGTTAAAAATATTCACAATGTACAATAATATAAAAAGTACAATTGGTTGGAGCAAGAAGAAGGCATAAATTAGCCTTTTCACCGAGCCCCAATAGTCAATTTTAAGATTGCGGAAATTTTTTTTCTTTAATATATTAAAGAAAAAAAATTTCCGCAATCTTAAAATTGACTTAAAATATAAAAATTTTAAGCGTATTGTTAATATATTAACAATATACTGAAAATACTTTAACAATATTGGTCCCCGGTACTGAATAGAATAAGAACATAACTTTAATTAGTAGGAAAAAATTTGTTCCTTCTATTTTTCATCGGGTTTGTTCAGTCCATTTTATTTTACAGGAGGAAATAAGACCTATATAAACAACTGCCCATTCTTTCTGCCAAAACTATAAAAAAAACAAAAATATAAAAAAACCAAGTACCACAGTACTTGGTTTTTATAGCATATAAAATATTAAATATAATTATAGGATATAAAAACATATAAATGAGCAGCCGTAGCGCAGAGGTTAGCGTGCTTGCCTCAGAAACTAGAGAATCGTGGTTCAATGCCACCTCAGGACAAGTTTAATAAAATCTTTAAGGATGGAAGCATGACCTTTCTTTAAAAATGCTCTTCCGCCTTGCTCTGTGACCGTAAGGACTTCTTAAGGCACCTAAAATAAAAATAATTAAAAAAAAAATTAAACAAAGTTGAAAACAAAAAATTATATTATTATTTTTTATTATTTAATTAACATAAGAAAAATTTTAGTTATATAATATTTCATATGTCCATATGTTACTTACAATATGTTCTCCACAGAAATAAAAAATATATATATATAATATATAATATATATATATATATATATATATATATATATATATATATATATATATATATATATATATATATATATATGTATATATATATATATATATATATAATAGTATTTATATATCTGTATATATATATATATATATATATATATATATATATATATATATATATATATATATATATATATATATATATATGTCTATATATATATAAATATATATATATATATATATATATATATATATATATATATATATATATATATATATAATAGAAAGTATATATTTCTATATATCTATATCTATATCTATATATATATATATATATATATATATATATATATATATATATATATATATATATATATATATATATATATATATATATATATATATATATATATATACATATATATATATATATATATATATATATATATATATATATATATATATATATATATATATATATATATATATATATATATATATATATATATATATATATATATATATATATGTATATATAAAATATCCTTTGTTATTTGGTAAATATCAATTCTACTCAATTGAGCATGCAAAAGAATTATGAAGATTTTAACAACTTTATTTTTCAAAAAACTCTATTACATGCAAAAAAAATTGATAGGCATAGCTGCCTTCTATTTTTTTATTTATTAATACGACTTCATTAGGGCTCGTAATAAGCCGAGACCATTTTGATTTAATGATAAATCCACATTTTGTTACTGACACAAGTTATTTTTATTTTTTGTTAAAATTTCATTTAAAAAGGAGGCAGGAAGTATACTTCTTTCTCTATAAACAATAAAGCCAAATTTTAAAGATTACAAGTGTTTCTTGCTTTCTACATGTCGTAAATTTATAAATTGTGATAAAGTAGCTTTTTCCAAATTCTTTGGAAAAAGCTACTTTAGATAGAAAGGATAGGATCTCTTTGGATAAAACTAAATGTTTTTGAAATAAACATTGATTAAATTTCATCAAATTTAATTGCATCATTAATTCTAATTCAAACCCATTATTTATCGTATAACAAAATTTATTATGTTAGCAAATTTAAAAGGTAGTTCTTTTACTTTTTGCTGATATAAAGATACTGATGTTTCATAATAAGATGTGCAACGATAATTATTTCCTTTTAAAAGATTTTTAAATGCTATTCCTTCTCCCAGATTATATAAACTCAGACAGTTTATATAGTCTGGAAGAAGGAATAGCATTAGATAGTTATTTAAGTTTTTTCATCAAAGTTGTTGCACGAAAATCTCTATTTCCTGATACGAAAGGGCAGTTTCATGAATTGTTGGAATCTTTTTCTAAATCACTCATTTCAAATTACACCTTAAAAAGCTTAATTGCTGTAAAATTTCTTTATTTTACAGCAATGGTATTAAATAAGTTTAAATTTAATTCTTTATATTCATTTAATTAAAATAATACTGCAGCAACATGCTTGCTTCATCCTCCCATAAAAGCTTTACCATTACGTTCACCAAACAAAACTCCAAATCTCCTACTTTTTGAAAATGTATATAAAGAAGGTACTAATTTTTTATTGAAGCTGAAACTTTAGCTTTAATCAAGAAAGAGTTTATTTTAATATTGACGTTTTAACAAACTACTAAATTTTTAACGAAATTATCTTTGAACAGCTGAGAACCAGAAATATTTATGTTTGAAGCACATCTAGCTCCGTAGCTCTTTAAATCATTGTCTATAATTGTTTGTGTATTTTTTCTTGACGTATATTAGGAGCCAAGAAAAGATATCATGACCATATAATTTTTTAACACCTATCTGAATAAACCAACAAGTTATTTCTCAAAATACTGGTTGCAAAGAAGTTGAAATCATGTTCCAAATTACTTTCATAATTATCTGCTGTATTTATTTCTGACATGATCATGTACAGGAGCAAATAAACTCACGATTAAGATGTCTTTTTTTGCCTCCTAATATCGGTTAAGAAAAAATACACAAATACATAAGTTTTTTTCTGTATAAATATTTTTTTAATATTGCTTTCAGAAAATTAAATTTAGTATAATTTATTATTGATCGTATATTCAATTTTGAAAAGAAAAATATCTTTTTAAAGTTGCATTTTGTTTTCATCAAAAATTAAACTTAAACAGTAACTTTTTTAAGTGTATCAAAGTTTTCAGTCTTCAAAAATGTTAACTTTACCACGGAGTTAGATTTAAATAAACAAATAAGTTTTGTTGAAGTTAAAATTTACAAGACACTGCAAGTCCCAAGCTGTTACAAAAGTGAGATCAGATTTAATAATGGCTTCCCGTTCTAAGGAATCAAAAAGAGAAGACTTTTTGTTTAGACAGGGATATAAATGTTGATTTGTTAGCAAATTAATGTAGGTAAAAAATAACACAGGACCAAGGATAACCCTTTAAGTTTCCCCAGAAAGTACTAGGAATAATGAAGAATGTTAGCCTTTAAGGATGATTTCAATAAAGCTATTAGAAAGTAATGGCTTGATAATCTCAAAAACTTTCTCAGACACACCATATGAAGCAAGCTTTTAGAGAAGACCAACATTGTAAAACCTTGAAATATATTCGAAATATATTCGTTAAACATTGTAAAACCTAAAATATATTCGAAGAAATAACCCTTGCCTCGTCACTTCCATTTAATGCACAATAAAATCTTATAATCACACCAGTTAGCAAGTCAACCATAAAATGAGAAGATCAAAAACCATAATGATTGTAAGAGAGTAAAATATTAGGCTTAAGATGGGATGTTAAAAATTTGTTGATCAAAGACTCAAAAACTTTGCTTGTAATAGAGAAAAGAATTGATTGGATGGCAATTAGAGGGGTAAGAGTGTTCTCAAGAATTTTTAAAAATTGGAACTACAGATGCTATTTTTTAATTAAAAAAAACAATTAAGTCATTCAAGTACTTAATAAACAGTTAAGAAAGAATTTAAGAGATTTCTGGAAAATGTTTTTGTAAGACTATGACAAAAAAGTTGTCAATAATTTATGTTTGGAAGAAAGAAGAGTTTTAAAAGTATGTCACCCATAAATCTAGTGTCAAGTATAAGATATTGACTCTTCATAATAAGTATACATTTGCATCAAATCATAAAACTTTAAATCGCCACTTCTGTAAGGTAGAGAATGAGTTTTTAGAGGAGAGTAGCAGAATCTTTGATATTACTATACCAACGCTTAAACAGAAAGTATATAAGGATTGATAAGTATATGTTCATGTTTTTATTACTATAAAAATATGAACAAAAGCAATTTATTTGTTATTAAATACAAATCAATAATTCTATAATCTTTTTAGTTCTGCTCCCAAGACATTTCAAGTAATGCCTTTTAGTAATGTCTTCCAAGACATTTCAAATAATGTCTTTTAAGTAATGTCTCCCAAGAAATTTCAAGTAATGGCTTTTAGTAATGTCTTGTCTTATAGTCAATAACATAAACATAACATCAATTACAAAATTATTGTTTTACATTTTATTATTAATAGACTTAAAATAATAGTAATGTAATAGTAATAAATAAATAAAGTATAATAAAAAAAATAGTAACCTATTTAAATCTCTATCAACACAAAACATCATAACATTTAATCTGAAACATAATTTTTTTTGACAAATTCTTGTATTTTTGTTAAAAAAATGTGTAAAACTTAGATTATAACAAAATACAGAAATTTACATGTTGCTGAAGAGTTTTCTGTCTTCTGAGAAAGTGTGTGAGAAAAAAAGTTGCAGTAAACTCTATTGCTTGTTCATATTTTATCCTTCATCTATTTGGCTGGCTCAGATATATTTTTAATACATTATTTCCAGTTTAGGATGTTGAATGCTAGATCTTCTTGACTCAATGCATGGGTTTTACTTGTGTCTCTGTTTTTATGATTAGGCAACTTATTCTATTATCTCCTAATGAAGGTACAGCTATGGTTCTTATGGTTCTGAGGCCGGCTGGTAGTCAGGTTTCCCAAACTCTGTGTTTCCGTCAACAAGTAAACAATATCAGAGTATTAACAGTGCCATTTTGCGCATATATGGTGTCCCTGTTCGTAACTTTTGGCGTGTTTTGTTGAGACCACATTTGAAGCCTTTTGTTACGGCTTGGGGTTTATTAAAAGTAATTAGGCAACTTTTAGGATCATTAAATAGTGTACTGAATACAATCTATGCTTAGAGTCAATTTTTTTCACAAATTTAAAAAATGTTTAGCTGTCTCATCTGGAGATTTTAGTGTTGATGCTTATCTTTATCATTTTTTTATCGTTTATCTTTTAATTCGTAAAGACAATTGTCACTAGGTTTGAATCCACAGACTATTCTGTGCTTTCGTTTAGCACCTCACTCGGTTGCCGTTTGTTCTATATTTTTCTCCTTCTTCTCAAGACTGCACTTTTTTCAATGTTATTTCTGATCAAATTGATCAAACCCCCTCTCTTTTTATGAATATTGTTGATGTTGATGACTTTAATGCTCATCACACCGAATGGCTTGGCTCTAGTGTAAGTGACTTTGCAGGCGTTAAGGCCCACAACGTTTGTCTTTCTCAATCTCAAAATCTAACAATCAAATTTTCAATTCACTTTCCAGACAAACCAAATCATTTACCTTCTCTACTCAACCTATGTGTTATTTCTGATCCTAGTCAGTGCTCAGTTTCTCCACATTTACCCTTAGGTACTTTTGATCACAGTTTGATCTCTCTAAAACTATTATGTCATTTTTCTTCATCATTAGAGTCCCCCTGTCATCATACCTCTTAGAACTAGTTTAAAGCTAACTTGGACTCTTTCCGTAATTTTCTTCGTGATGACTCATGGACAGAAATCTTTTGTCTTCCTGCTGACAAATGTGCTTCTTACATAACTTCGTGGATTCAGGCTGGCATGGAATTTTTTATTCTCTCTCGACGGTTCCAGGTCAAGCATCACTCTTCTCCATGGTTTTCCTTACATTGTGCTGCTGCAATTTCCAATCGAAACCGTTACTTCCATATCTATCAGCAAAACAATTATTTTGAAAACAGACGTCTGTTTACTATTGATGGAAACCGTTATAAAAAGTTTTTGTCTAACGCCAAAGCCCCCTAGTCTCAGGTCATAAAATCTCGTATTTCCTCAAAAAATTTAGGCTCTCGTGACTTCTTGAAAATCTTTAACAGTATCAATAATAAGGGAAAAATCATTTATTTCATCTCTTTGGTATGGTTCAGACTTTGTCAACTCAAATAAAGGCAAAGCTAAATTGTTTGCGAAGAACTTTTCATCAATATTACCTCTTGATTTCACTAGTTGCGTTCTACCTGATATAGCCAACAATCAAGTTGATCAATTGCTTGATATTCGTATCACTCCAGCTTTTGTATCAAAAGTGATTTCCTGCTTAGACTCTTCTACAGCTTGTGGTCCGGACAACATATCTGTTATAGTCTTGCAGAAGTGTTTTCCAGCCTGCTGGAAAGCAGCATCTGTTATTCTTATTTTCAAAAAGTCTGGAGAGCGATCTGATTCTTATAACTACCGTCCCATTAGTTTTCATTGATTAACAAACACTTAATCTCTCATTTTGAATCTAACAACTTACTTTCTGATCATCAAAATAGATTTGATTTTTTCTTTCTACAGCTGATTTGCTAATAGTAATAACCGATAGGTTTTATTGTTAATTAGATAAAGATGGAAAGATTAAGGCTATCGCTCTTGACATTTATATAATGTTTGGCATGATGGTTTCTCCAAAAGTTTTTTTTTTACGATGTATATGATAACATATTTAAGATTATAGAATCCTTCCTTTTCAATCGTAGAACAAAAATTGTCCTTGATGGACAGCACTCTTCTCATATCCTATAACTTCAGGGGTTCCTCAAGGTTCAATCCTTGGTCCTCTCTTTAATGTATGTTAACGATCTTTTAGATATTCTTACATCTTAGGTAATCTCGCTTGCTGATGATACTACCATTTATTCTTGTCATGATTCGAAGCCAATACCCTATGATTTCTTGGAGGGAGTATTTGAGCTTGAAAACGATCTCACTTTTGCTACAGCTGGTGAACTTTATTTCAAATAAAATCTAGTTTTTTTCAGCCAATTGTTATCGCAATAAATTAGATCTTCCTATATTTATGAACAGTAATGTACACAATGAGTCATCTACCCTTCATCTTCTAAAATTAACTCATACTTTCAATCTTATTTGGAAAACACATATCAAATCAGTATGGAATACTGTTGGCATATCTTGGGCGGATTTTTTAATGATGCCCTTTCTCTTTTAGACAAGTTGCAAAAACACATTGTAAACATAGTTGGACCTGCTCTTGCAGTCAACCTCCAACCATTATCACATTGTCGTAATGTTGCTTCTCCTTCTCGTTTTTGCAAATACTATAATGGACACTGTTCTAAAGAGCTAGCGTCTCTTGTGCCATCTACTAAAATTTATTTTCGTGTTACTCGTCATTTAATTAAGTCTCATCCTTATTCTGAGAATTTTCCTAAGTGCTCCAAAAACTCTTATTAGTCTAGTTTTTTCCTCGAACATTAGTTCTTTGGAGTTTGCTTCCTTAACCTTGCTTTCCTGATTTATACAATTTGCAATCTTTAAAGTTGTCTGCCAATTGTTATATTTCTAAATAATCTTTACTTTTTCTCTTCCAGTAACTTCCAACTCTAATAGTGGTTTCTTGCACCCTTTTTGGAAGCAAAGATATAAACATTATTTAAATTTTTCTTATATTTTATTAAATTATAAGTTAATACTTTTAATAGCTCTAATAGTATTACTTTAAGTGTCGTTTGATTTCTTTAAAGTTATTATAACATTAAATTTTATCAGAAAAACGTGATCTAAATGTTAATAATAAAAGTTAAACTTAATGAAATTAAAAAATATAGTAATCCTATATGTATTAAACTTCTTATATTTTAAACTTTATATCTTAAACTTCAGTTGTTTTCATTTGCTGGTTCAAAGCTACCCCAAGTAGATTCAAAGCTACTTTTGAATCTGGGCTTTGAATCTGGGCTGATGAATTAAATGGGGCAGCTTTGAGCATTTTTATATATGCTTAAAATGTAAGAATACTGACTTTATATATATATATATATATATATATATATATATATATATATTATATATATATATATATATATATATATATATATATATATATATATATATATATATATATATATATATATATTAGGGATATGACTTTTTAAAATAAAATTTTCCTGGCCCAAAAATGAATGAGTTTTTACGCATAAAATGCGAAAATATTAATACTTTCACGATGTTCAAAAAAAATGTCACGCCCCAAAGCACATTAAGATTTAAAAAGGTTTTAAAAAAATTAATGACTAAAAACATTTCTATTTGCAAACATGTTCATTCATATGATTCTATATAAAAACATAATTTATTCTAACAATTAATACATGGCATAGTGTTATATTCAATGCAGGAAAAAACATTTTATACAATTTAAATACATACAGTTATTGTTTATTAGACAAAATGAAACGAAGTGGAAGATTGTCTTTATTTCTGCACAATCTATAAAGCTCCTCCATTACTTTAATTGCTCTTTCAGCACATTGATTACTTCTGGGAATGTTGATTGCTGATTGTTCTGGATTCCAATGACTTGTAAATGTAGCAAGAGGTTTCTTTTTGTTCAATAAAACTTCATGAAGGTCTGAATAAGTGTTTTCTTTATAGGATTGGTCGTCAAACCAAAAGTCTGCCCACTTTTAAGAAATAAAGGTACATACAGATTCAAGTTTGTTTCTTGTTTTTGGCATAAGAATGTAGGCTAACAACGCTAAAATAGCTCTTGAACTCCATCGACCATTACTGATATTAGGGATTTTTTGAAACCTTACATTAGGAAATATTTTATTTTGGTCATAGTATCGGTAGGCTCTCGTCAGATGAAACAGAAACTTTATGTCATCTCGCCATCCTCCTGTGTCTTTTATTTCTTCTGTACCATTATAAAAATTTGTTTTCAGTGTTTCATAATGTTCTAACAACTCGTTAGTAAAAAAGTAATTAATGTTTGGTGAGTTCGGATTTTCTCCCAATTTTTCTTCCATTTCTAGTCTAAGTATTCTATCCAAGATATGATGTTGACATGGTACAAATTAAGGTTTTTGTAATCCTTTTTTTTGAAAAATGTCCTGAAGTTTTACAACAACACCATTTTTCTTTCCGGTATTGACATTTGTAGTATCTGTCACAATCATTTTAATTGAATTCCATAGTTTAAATTCATCTATAATATCAGCTATGGCATTAATAATAGTGATAGATTTTCCATCTATTAACTTCAGTGCGCCCAACTTTATTTCGCTTCTTTCATTTTTAAGAACGACAACCTGATACTCCCATTGGTCTATATGCTTTCCATCGAAGTGTAGACTCCAATTCTCATTCTTAAAATCTTGAATTAAAGTTTCTTTAAATTGTTTTGCTTCATTAAAAACAGCCTTGTATATTCCAGACTGTGATGGCGCTGGAACATGTATGTCTTCTGAGGAGAGTATTTTACCTATTTTAGAAGCTTCTTAGTTGATACCTTAGCACAAACCACTAACTTTGTTGCTATTTTACAACTACAATATTTTTTATGTCTTTTCTTCAAATTATTATATTCTTCATCTGTAATTTCATTATCTATCTCGAATTGTTCATCAGTTTCTCGAACTTCGGAACTAGAGTTGTCTCTTTCTATTTTACTACTTTCAGTAAATGAAGAAAAACTTTTAGATGCTGAAGGTTGGCTGGAAAGTTTTTGCACAATTGATGGATGAATAGTCTTCTTTCCTGCCAGCTTTGAAGTAGCATAT